TCTTTATTGCTTTGTCTTTATTATGTGTTTAGATTTAACATGACTGTGAACATTGATTATAGATTTTTTTGTTTCATTTAAAAAAAAAAAAGAAAAGAAAAGTGGACCTGATGTAAAGTGTAATGTAGCATTTCTTTTTTCTTTTTCTTACATTAGACTTTATTGGTATATTTTAGATATACATATCAATCACATTCATCATGGGGAATTTGTACCTGTACATGATATAACTTGATTATTTTTCCCCCAATTCCCCTACCCTCCCTTCAACCCCTCCTTTCCTCCCAAAATAGCATTTCTTACTGATTCTGTCTCCCACTTTCAGAAGTAAATATGATTATTTACATTTTAAAAACTATTAATTGCCTCTTATAGGTGGTCATCCTCACAATTGGACAGCCATTTCAAGGGAGTGTTTGAATCTTTTAAATGATATGACTCAAAGACTAGTTCTGTACCAAGAAGCTGCTGCTACAAATGGGAGAGTGTCTTCCTCATATTCCATGGAACCTAAGAAATTGGATTCTCCAGGTAACTCCTAGTGCTACTAAGAAAACTAGGGCTGGAGAGATAGCTCAGTGGCTTAAGCTCCTGCCTGGCAAGTGCAAAGTCCTGAGTTTGATCCCTGGTACCTCCGCCCCACCACCAAAAAAAGAAAAAGGAAACTATACAGAGTGTGGTGACAAATACTGTAATCTCTGCAGTTGAGGCTGAGGCTGGAGGGTCACCATGAGGTCAAAGCCAGCCTGAACTGCATAGTGAGATCTTGCCTCAGAAATTGGAAGAGAACCCCTGCCACCCCCTGGGGCCCCCCCCCCCACTCCGCAGCCCCCCCCCCCCCGGGCCGATACCTGCGCGCCCCAGCGGCCGGAGAGGGTGGCCAGTGCGCACGCGCAGAGTGGCAGCCCACCGCGCCCACGTCCCCGCTGTTCCGTGGCCGCATGCGCGAGAGGGGCGATGACAGACGAGATCGCCAAGGCTCAGGTCGCCCGGCCTGGCGGCGACACGATCTTTGGGAAGATCATCCGCAAGGAGATCCCCGCCAAGATCATTTTCAAGGACGACCAGTGCCTTGCCTTCCACGACATCTCCCCCCCAGGCACCGACTCATTTTCTGGTGATTCCCAAAAAACATATTGCCCAGAGCTCTGTAGCGGAAGATGATGATGAAAGTCTTCTTGGACATTTAATGATCATTGGCAAGGAGTGCGTGGCTGACCTAGGCCTGAACAAGGGTTATGGGATGGGGCCAGTCTGTCTATCACGTTCACCTGCACGTGCTTGGCGGACGGCAGATGCACTGGCTTCCCGGTTAAGCGCGCTTTGGGGATAATTTTCCCATTGTAGGCAGTGAGTAAATTTGCAAGTTCCAGTATGCTGAACAGTACACTTTTGCGTGTGTACA